TTTTTTTTTTTTTTTCACGCGAAATGACCCGATCCTTTGCCAAGGGATTAGTAATACCACGGCTTTCTTTATCGGGAGAAATATCTTTTACAAAAGTGTGTGTAACTGCACCTTATAAGCTGTTCATTGTTTATTGTTTATTATAATTTTAGCATACAAGCAAACATATACGTATGAAGTTTAAAAGAGGATGAGACAAATAAAATACTGTAGGGACCAAGAAAGCGGCGTTTCACTGTTCGACTGTAAAACCGTTTCGCGCATATTGTTTCTTTTCTAATTAATTTCGACGCTCAAGTCAGTTCGACGTTTGACTCGGCAGTCGAACTTAAGGTCCACCCAAATCGTAATTTAGTTCGTCTCATGATAAGTTTAACGTCTTACCCCCTCCTTAAGTGAACGATTATACTACCTAATCGGTACTTAATTTCGCGTTTTTCGCGATTGTAAATAAATCGCGAAATTAAAGACCCGCGAATTTAACCACGCGAAATTTAAAACCCATGTAGAAAATTCAAAACACACAAAAAGAATGTTAACAATACACAAATTGTTGATTGGTTTTACTGGTAGCTTCCATTTTGTATCTTCAGTTGTGAAATAACGTTAATTGCAAAGATTTCAAGCATTGCTTGTTTCAGTTTATCTAGAAATTTTAAAAAGTTCAGACTTTTTGAAAAATAAAATCAATTTGAGAATGCTTTAACCGCGAAATTTAATGGCCTTTTTTCATACTTGCCTGTTGAAATCGCGCAAATAAAACCCCGCGAAAAACTATCTTTCCAAATTCGCGGAATTACAAGTTTTTTTTTTCCTTTCTACTTTTTGCATGAATTTTTGCGGCGTAGGTATTTTGAGTACTCGTGTATTTTATGTTTTCGTTTTCCTTTCCAGATTGTTCTAGTTGTTACTTTGAAAAATACCAAGATTTACCAACCAGAGGAGCTCTCGCCGTGGAACATTTCACCATTAATGGAAGTCTTTTTCTAGCGTTCGCCAACTTTAAAAGTGACACCGCCGAAAAATACAACACAGATTCTTTTATCTACAAGTTCAACGATTTAACTGGGAAATTCTTTCTTTACCAGACCATAGGCACACATGGAGGGCACGACGTAGAATATTTTACAATTTCTGGTGAACATTATCTTGCCGTTGCTAATGTTAATGATGGAACTACGCACAAACTAAACTCAGTTATTTATCTTTGGAATGGAACATCGTTTTTTGCTTTTCAAAACATTGCAACGAAAGGCGCAGCCAGCTTTAATTTTTTTACAATAGCGAAAGAACCTTTTCTTACTGTATCCAATCTCTACGGTGATGTTTCGCAAAAAACCAACTCAACCATCTACAAGTGGAAAAACAACATGTTTGAAAAGTTTCAGGAGATAGCGACAGAGGGATGTCGTGCAAGTGCTGCGTTTGTAATTAACAATGAAAGCTACATTGCCTTTGCAAACGCGGTCACACATTCGAACCTGGCATCATCAGTCGTCTATAAATGGTCGGGGAAGCACTTCACCAAATTTCAGACTCTTCGAACGAATAGAGCAATGGATGTAAAGTCCTTTTACATCAATGACCACGTTTTTCTAGCCATAGCCACTTCGGCAAAACATATCAACTCCCCCTCGTTCATTTACAAGTGGAATGGCAGACAGTTTGTCCTTTTTCAGTCCATTCCTACCTTTGGGGCCAGGGCCTGGTACCCATTTGTCATATGCGGTCAAACGTTTCTGGGTGTGGCTAATCAAAAGGAGATATTAGGTTCCCGGAACAACATAAGGTACAACATAAAGTCAGTGGTGTATCGTGCTTCTGGGGACCAGTTCACTGCATATCAAAAGATTTCAACCTTTGGAACGACTGATATGACGTCATTTGAATACAAGGGTTACACTTACTTGGCAATTGCAAATTCATGGAATGACGACAACCAAAGAAACATTAACAGCACGCTGTACAGGTTGACCTAAAAAGAATGCATATGCATTAATAAGACAATTAGTTCACGATTCAGTCTCACCTTCGTCCTTTCTCAAGAAAAAGGGTCTGAATGGGGGGTGGGAGGGGGTTTATACTTCGGTTGTCTGCGTAGTTTTCAATCTTTGTCGGTCGTCGGTAAATCTCTGTCAATGAGTATAAATGCATCTTAGCTATCGATAGTCGTTATGTAATTCACTCAGTTAATTCAAACTCTATACAAAGTGTAAAACTTAAAATAATTCATCTGATTTGATTGGACTTAAAGCTCATTTAGCAACCTGATCGTTGTTCTTTTTCTCCTTGTTTGTTGTAATCGATAAAACATTTACGTACGTAGTAAACGTGAACGACATTTCCCGTCGTCGTTTTCCCTCTTATGCCCAGAAATGCGAGAAAACTCAGAAATTAGCTACTTCACATTGGACACAATATGCCAGAATTGCTTGCGTTTAGCTAAGGATTAGGGCTATGGGACACTTCGGGATGCCTATCATAGAGAACGTGAAACTCATTAACTTGCAATCCTGGGTAACTCTTTCTTTCCACTCTCGCGTTTAACCATTCACATCAACCCACAGGTAGCCTGTGAGGACGCTCTCAGTTTGAAGGAGTCGCGAGAAGTCACTTGAGAGCCGCACGCGAAAGATGACACGAGCTTCGCCGCTCGCTCTCCCGTTTTTTCGCGGCATTTTTCGTTCGCCACTCGAAGTGGAGAGCTTGCTCGCAGGCTAATTCATAGGGCTTCCTTAAAACTTCCTATGAGTTTGAACCAGAACTTCGGGGTGTAAAGGTTAAGAGATGAAACGGGCTATCCGCTCTTCAAGCGTCTGTGTAATGCACAGTAGGACTGCAAGTGCGAGCGCTCTTTTTGCTTCTGCTTGTAGGCCAGCAACCTTTTCCCTGCTTAAAACAAGTTAGACAGTTTTCAGCCAAAGGTTTGGAATGAGCAACCATTTTTTATCAGCTTTGTGGAAAGCTTTGTATGAAGTAGTTGTGTCACGAAATTAGGGAGCTCAAACAGCAACGACGGCTACAAAGACGTCACTTAAAAAGTGCATATTCGCTGCATCAAACTTTTCGAGCTTATTTTATCTCTTTCACTAAGTCAAATGTTGGCAAATTCTTCTGGAGTTCAATTCTCAAACAGTAAATCGTAGTTCAGGAAAAGAAAAAGAGAGTCGTGAAATTAGGCATTTTTACGTCGTGTCGTGCAGTGACCGCAAAAAATTTACAATAAAAGCGCGATGCAGGGGCATATTTGTTGTTTTGTTGTCTAAACCTATGGCTTATTTTTACGTTCTAGTTGCCGTCGCCTTCGTCGTCTCTTAAGCCCCTAATTAAGGAACTTAAGAATCAGACGTTCTTGGAACCACGGACGCCAACCGGAAGTATTTTTGCAGCATGACAGCCACTGCGCATGTCAAGAAGTTCTAGAGCTGCGGTCACGGACTTCAAAACGTGAGTTCTCAGGTTGAAACCAGGGGTTCAAATTGAGGGTTCTTCGAAGAGTATTCGTCATACGAAAGTAGAAATTCTTCATCTGAAATCATGTTTTCTTCGTAACAAAGAAACAAAACTTAACGCAAATCTTTGAAAGGCATTTTCAACTGAATTATTCTGTCGGCGCTCGTGATGTTTTCACGTTATTTTGCTTAATGATTTGCATTTGGCACTCAAACCGTCAGTCAAGAACGGCACGCTGGTCGCGCAGAACTGGATCAGGGACGCGGTTTGCGTGCCAAATACAAATTATTAAGCAAACCAACGTCAGACCATTACGAACGCGGACAGAATAATTCAGTTGAAAATGTGTTTCAAAGATTCTACTACGCTTTTAAAGTTCTATCATAACAAAAGAACATATAAGGATTGGAAACTATTGGTTATCGAATATTAACAATTCTAACTCTCTCACGTTTCTGAACCTCTGGTTTCAACCTGAAAACTCGCGTATTGAAGTCCGTGACTGCAGCCCAAAAACGTCTTGACATGCGCAGTGGCTGTCATGCCGCAAAAATACTTCCGGTTGGCGTCTGTGGTACCTGCAACGTCTGGTACTTAAGTTTCCTTTTATCAAACTCCACCAACTTCGACCCCAGGGCTTTTCCTTCCATTTTCTAAGGGAAAATCCCTGGAGACGAGGTTGAATTTCCACGAGTGGGAAATGACACTAAATGGGTGAAACATGAAAATAACGGCTCGGAACATTAAGAGAAGGTATAAATAACGCGGTTAATACAAATTTAAAAGAAGGAACGGATGGACTTATTGGGATATCAGTTGTGGCTTTTGAAAATTTGTGTTTGCTATAACTGTTTCAAAGTTTTTTTCGTTGTTGTTGTTTTTAACGTCCGATGTGATGTTTGAGAGACGCGTTTGTTTGACACGAAGTTGTGAACTAATTTCTTCCCAAACATTTAGTTCCATAGGGAATAACTGCGCGTAATTGGCAATATTAACAAAGTGAAGAAGGACATTATTATTATAAGATAGTGTTACTTAACAATTAATGAATGAGGCTGAGTGTCTTATGAAGAATTATGGAGATCGAGGAGGGGATACGACCGGAAAACGCGAGAGAATTTTATTAGCAAAATGTCGCGTTTTCGAAAATTAACCGAGGCTTTTCCGAGACGGTGAATACCATATTTCTTGCCGTGTTTGTAGGTTTGTTTTCCATTTTTGCGGTCTGAATCTAGATTCTGCCGTCTTTCAATTTCATTAAATTTGCCTCGCTAGTTTTCTACTTTTCAGAGAAGGTTGTTGTCAACGATTGCATGTAGCTTTCAATCTTGAATAAACAACAAGAACATGAAAAGGTCGTCAGTCAGTAGCGGCAAAAAGAGAGAAACAAATATATTAACTTTAGTTACCCACATCGCCTTCTTTTATTCCAATTCACTTCAAAACCCTAAGATTGGTATGTGTAATTAGCTCTTTTTATAAAGCCTTTGTGCTGTTTTTATCCCGCCCGATTGAATTTATCTGAAAGTAAATATTCAGCCGAAGAAAATCTTTGCCGTATTTTCTTTCCTGTGCCGGCTTTTAAGTTCGTCAATTCTTTTATCCTTGTTTGACACTCAGATTATGAATTGTCTACTAGGACACAAAAAACCTCTCTTTATTTTTAAGAGAGCTTAATTGTGATAATATAAATTCCTAGTTAAAAATCATGTTGTAATATTTTGTTTTGGTTTCCAATCGATCGCGCGCTTCGAATAATAACAACATGAACGCGCCCTTTCTCAACACACATAGGTTGGAGGCTGAAAGCAAAATTTTCCTGAAACTTTTAAATCTCAGTAGGAAAAAAATAAAAATGTTGTTCAAGACCCCAGACACAGTTTCTCCCAATACGGACTTCCCAGCCGGTGAATAAGATATATATATTTATTTATTTCGCCACTCATATATTTCTGACATTAAGATTAGAACACATATGTGACTGTAAGATCATCGTAGTTAGCGCTGGGGCCAAATCACCCCCGAAAGGGCTTATCAAAACGTAACAATTTCGATTAATTTAAAATAACTTTGCTTGCTTTAACTCTTTCCCAACCAAACTTGGCCTGAAAATACGAAACATAGGATGACACCAAATGTCAAATTATGACGTCACATTTGCTGACGTCATTCAGACGTAAATTTTAAACTTTTGAAAGAACTATCCAAGGTAAGTTGAAAGCTGAAAAAACTTTTTCAATATTTGAAATATGAGGTGAGATGACAATTTGAACCTGGATAAATTGGGAGCACGAAAACGGGGTACACCCTTGTAAAATAAGTCTAAGATGAAGAGTTTTATTGTCAAGTCACCCTTGCTATTTAAGTTACACATAACACATCTTTACTGTCGAAAGCTAAAGGAAAAAGAAAAATTTGAAAAAAGAAATTCCTAATTGCGCAAAAAGCCGGAAAACAGTTTTGTGACGTCATAAAATGTTACGTGATCAATTTTTTGGTTTGCTTAGATTAGTGTTTTTGAGTAAAAAAAAATCTAAAATGATACGATTTTGGCCAACTATAAAAGGTTTGTGTCACCGGAAAATCAGCTTATTTTGCAAAAAACTGTGAAAAAAAATATCAGAGGGATAAAAACTTACCTTCTCGAAAATTTCAGCCAGGAAAAGACTCCCGAAAATTCTAGGTGGTCTTTTTTAGGGTCAAAATCCGTTAAAAATGGGTAGTTATACCATTTTGTAGATGTTCGAAAATCCTAGGAGAGGCAGGCAAGCAAGAAATTTTACGACAAATGCTCCGAAAAATCTAGATCTCAAATCGTCTTCCGAACAGATATTTTCCCGAAAATTGCCGCTGGGTGCCCCTGATTTGTGCTTTGTCCTTTGACAACGTGCACGTGGCAGGAGTTGACAGCTTAAATCTGCCTTTCCTGTTAGCAAACGGTTTTAAACTATATCAGACTGCTGCATAAACACGTCTTGGTTTATGAAAACTGATAACATTAAACGATTGTTGTTGTTGTTGTTGTTGTTGTATTTTTTGGCCTCAAAAATTATCTTTTACGTCGCCCATAGTTTCGAAAACAGATTTTGAAAGAAGTGATAACGCTCTTTAACGTGGTATAGAGGATCTGTTCTGTGGAACAAGATTCCCTCAGAGATTAGAAAACTGCCTAGTTTAAATGTTTTTAAAACTTCAATTCATGGGAAAGATTTATCTAATACACCATGACCCATTGTAACTCTTATTAAGTAAGTTTTTGTATTTTTTTATTATAGTCAATAGTTCCTTAGAGTATTTTAGTTTAGTTTTATACACGATTCCTAGGAAGACCATGTAAAATGATACGATTTCGTGTATAAATAAAGATTGATGATGATGATGATGATGATGATGATGATCGATGGTATAAGTCTCTTTACTGAAATCGAGGTACCAGTCGCCGATTTTGGGCTTTGAAATTTGCCATTTTTTCATCCAACGGAAACGTTCAAAATATTGAAAATAATGAAAAATCTCCAAAATATTA